AAGTGTCTGCCAAATCCATTTCTCTAAGTCTTTGTGAGACCCCTGCTACCGTTCTGTTGTTTCCATTCCAGTTATCTGTGTATCTGCAGATGTAACTAGTTAATGACGTACAGTATATCACCATTCAATTTGATGATATACAGTACATCAGGAAATGCCACAGGCCAAAAATGATACTAAAACAGGAGGTTTACTAAACACTGTTTGGAGCTGAAATTCAAAAAGGTTTAGTTACAGCTCAAGACTTGGCAAGTACCTGGCAGAAGATGCTTAGTGTAGACAAGTGCAGGGTAAAAAGATTAAAAGATACATGCAAAATAGGAAATACAGACTTAGTAAAGGATACTTATGCAAAAGACTTAAGTATTTGTTTGCATACAGTCTACATACTATCATTTAGTAGACAATGCTTTGGAAACAATTAAAAGGCAGACAAAATATTATAGTGATAATGCATGATATAGTGCAATAAAATATTATATAGTCAAAAGAGCAGACTTTAAATTAAGGGGTGCTGTGTTAAAATATTGGAGATGTTTAGAAATGCAACAATGTTTAAAATGTTGTGTATAATTATAGTCAGCATGTGATAAAAAAAAAAATAGTGGAGCTCTGAAATCAGTCCAGAAAGAGCAAACTCTCCATACCGACAGACATAAAGAACTGAATCTTTTTAGTACTGAACACGAGGGGACTTCATACAAATATTCACAATCCTCCTAGCCTGACAACACCACGTGGTGGACAGAATAAACCATAAAACATAAACCAGAGGGCATAAGAGGCATAAGTGCATTTAATTGAAAATAATAGGCATAGCTTTACACAAAGGGTTGTAGGAGAAAGGAACAAGCTACCCAGAAATGTCATTGAAGTCTATACCTTGGCTTTCTTCAAAAAATGCCTGGATGAGATCCTTCATTCAATTAGCTGCTAACTACCAAATGGGCTAGGTGCGCTACATGTCCTCTTGTGTGTAACAATTCTTATGTCTATTAAAATGTCATTATTTTTTATTTGTCCTTCTGATTTACATTTTCCGATAATTAAACTTGCTTGACCAGTTTACAAATGTTTGGCCTATAGTTTCCACTTTCGTTATTAAGGTCAGATCTACATTTCATGGATTAGTATGCTTTTCTCCTCTTCCAGCTCATTAATGTTGTTTTCAAAGCACAGATTCCAATGATGGGCTCTTTGAGAAAGGACATGACACCAATGTCAAAACATTCATGTCAGGTGTGCATAGCATAATCCTAATTACACGCAAATGTGTTTAATAAAATTTCAGATTAAGATTCTGCAATTCTGCAAATTCAGAAATGAAAATTCTGTGGATCTGCATTAAAACCAGTTTAATATAATAATAATAATTGCTTACACTTATATAGCGCTTTTCTGGACACTCCACTCAAAGCGCTTTATAGGTAATGGGGACTCTCCTCCACCACCACCAATGTGCAGCATCCACCTGGATGATGCGACAGCAGCCATAGTGCACCAGAACGCTCACCACACACCAGCTATTAGTGGGGAGAAGAACAGAGTTATGAAGCCAATTCATAGATGGGGATTATAAGGAGGCCATGATTGGTAAGGGCCAATGGGAAGTTATACCCCTAATCTTTTGGAGAAACACCCTGGGATTTTTAATGACCACAGAGAGTCAGGACCTCGGTTTTACATCTCATCCGAAGGACGGCGCCTGTTTACAGTATAGTGTCCCTGTCACTATAATGGGGCACAGACCGCAGGGTTAGCACCCCCTGCTGTCCCCACTAACACCTCTTCCAGCAGTAACCTTAGTTTTTCCCAGGAGGTCTCCCATCCAGGCACTGACCAGGCTCACACCTGTTGAGCTTCAGTGGGTTGCCAGTTGTGAGTTGCAGGGTTAAATGGTGATATGGCCATCTATCATCAATTTAATATCTAAGTCTTGAACAAATGAGCTGTGAGAAAAATATTACTATAAACTCAGCACAGAGTGGCCAAAAGGTCGCACGCGCCAGATCTATAACTCTGCAAGAACTCCCTGCTCAGTGAACTGTGATTGAACATTGGTGTTTACTTAAACCTAAATAATCAGCTGTAGGGCAGAGGCTATCCCTCCTGTCTATTTGCTGTCCTGTAACCTTCACTGATAGCAGCAAATAACTAAAGAAATACTGGACAGGAATGCAGCATACTGATAAGCAAAGTTAATCATTAAAAATGAAATAGTAGAGGGATATAGATCCCACTTTAAACAAATGATCAATGATTATGGTTATATTTCCCAAGAAGATTTTTGCTCATGGAATGAACTCCAAAACACCATGTGGCAACTGGGAACATGTCCGATTAAACATTATGATTGTGAAAGTTATTAGGATTTCTGTTTTTATTTAGTTTTTTTTTTTGTGTACATTACATCCCAAATAAAAGCTCACAAAGAGGATGTTTACCGAGCACTTAGGTATAGTGATATTTGGCTTAACCCATTTGGCTGAGGCCAGAACGTTGGGCATACAATAAGGGAGCTGTGACCTCCATAGATCGAAAGGAATTACCCAAGAGGTAGGTGTAAACCTTTGGATGGGGTAGAAAAGGAATGCATGACTTTAAATTTGAGAAATGACATTGGTAATGATTGTGATTTAGGACAGCTGGGCCAAAAGTGTCTTGTTATCCTCAACCCTCCTTGTGTTAAGGTGAGAATTTCCATTAAATTAGCTCAGAATTAAAAGGTTTTCAGATCTTTTTGAGAAAGAATTCCATTGACTGTGTACTGAATTGTTTTTTTTTGACATAATGAAAAAATGACAGATTTTTGAGAGATATCATAAATAAGAAATGAGAAGTACACCACCTCTGTCACCTTTACTATGGTACTATACTTTTGTAATAAGGTTTATTCTATAACATGAGGCCAATATTCAAGGATCAAAGGTAAAATCATTCCACTGTGCAAAGCTCTTCACCTGTAGGGGCTACTAGAATTACCTTACACAGTAAGAACACATCCTAGTGCCTTAATTAAATGTGCTGTTGGGTTAAACATCCAGTCTACAAAGTTGTGTGCCCTGCTCCAACACATCCGGTACAGTAACTGTTGATTCACAAAAGCAAAGGGCTACTCTTCACCTCCCCTATGACACAATATATCAACAGTCTACTGCTCGTATTGCTCACATCCAAAGACCAAGAAATCCATCCTGAACAAACATACTTGGCAACACACATTAACACAAGAGTACTCAGCTACTACAGCTACTTCTGTTATTTTTGTCAAAGTATGTGACTGCTTTAAATGAAACAAACAAGAACTTAAAGAAATGCCTCTCTTGTGGCAAATGCACCAACCAAAACCTTCACCAACCTTGAGTTTGGAGCAACAGGGTTCTCTTTCCATTTGTGACTCAGGCAGCTTTTTGGCATTGACCCCCATGATGACTGATGTGATCTAGATCTATGAGATCTATGAGAAAAAAAAATCGTTTGGTTCCCAAACTTGAATCTGGGATTCTGAGGATACAGAGGAGGATACAGAGGAGACAACGCTTTAGGAAAAAGACTAGTTACATGGTGTTTGGAAACAAAGTTAGTCACAACAAACAAATAAAAATGATAAGACAAATGTGCGATTTTTGAGTCAAAATTTCTTATCAGGGAAACAGAATGCAAAAAAGCAATAACTACAGAAAACACATGCAGTGAAGGATAAATGTTTTCCAAGAACCATTTAATGTTTGTTGTGTTTTATTCCGATTTACTAGTTTCTTAACAGTTTTAAAACTTAGATTTTACGTTACATTAAATGATTTCTTGGAGGTTCAGATTCTGTGAATTTTAGTTGCAGGAAAGAGCTGGAATGATTGTTAACATTTATCCATAGTTCAATAATATCTATAATATACGTATGTGCCCCACACAGAGGTTTATTTAGAAGGTTATATTAATCTTGGATTTAGAAATGTAAAACAGAAAAAGAAAAATTCAAAAGGACAACCTTTTTACCTGTGATCCAGCAAGGAAAGTTCACAGTAATGAACTCTTCAGCTTTTATAAGAAATGTTAGTATTTGTTCAAAGCCTTATCTTTAAGACATGATGATAACACACTAATGAGTAACCTAGTACCCGATTCTTTCTGATAATGTTTTCACAGTATAACATTTGACCACTAAATGAAACAATTGGGGGCAGAAGAGAGGGATTAATTAAAAATGTTGTTATGATTGTCCCTTTGGGAGAAATTCTGCACATGAAACTGTACAGAATACATTTTCTATTGAGTATTTCCTGTAAGATTACAGTATATATGTAAGTGACTAGATTTACCAAAAAAATCTTTTACAAAAAGGTTGGAGTTTTTTTGTTTCAAAATAAAGAATGTCAAAGATGATGCTGTTTGCAGTTTTTGTCTTTTTTACTGTTCTTCTCTCAGGCACCTTGTATAAATGGAAACAGTAAATAACAAAAGTTTGTAGAACATATAAGAAACATGGAGGTATTAGTCAAGATCAAAGATGTAATTCCAAATTAAGGAAGTCATCAGCTGCAACATAGTTTTTGATGCCTAATATTGGTTTTAAGTATCTTAGTTCAAAGACATATCTATCAAACATCCACAGTACGCTATCAATATATCTAAAACATAGTACTATTTTACAAACACAAAAGAAAAACTATACTACAGATGTTTTTCTCCAAATCCTCTTAAGAAAAAAACTATCATTTAAAAAAAGTGATATTAGTGAAACTGAATCTTACCTTCATACCAGTAACTTGCAAAGCCCAATTTGTAACTTTATATTTTTTCATATTTAACCTCCCTTTACATGTTTTGCATACAGTATGTGTGCTTGAGCTTTGAGCTCTACTCAGTGAAATGCCATGCCTTGTGAGATGGTTTATTGAAATATAACATTGAAAAGGATGATTGCAATTATTTAATTTTCAGTTACTGTAATTAATATCTAAATGTAAATTAGATTGGGAGGCCCTTGTAGAAGATGACCATGTTGGCTTCAAAACAGGACTTCTTTTGACCCAGAGCTGGAATAAGAAACCATGCAGCAGGGACCAGGTATGTATTGTTAAGCCAGCATTCCTAGTTTTAAGGGTATGTTCTACACTGGCAGGCTGAAAAAATGAAACATTTTTAGACTTGAACAGCGAAGACACCAGTACGTAGGGACCAGATTCAAGTATTCGAATTCCTCAAAGGCTTTTACAAAGCCAACCCAGTGGATATCTTCAGAATCAATGGTGACATACGAACCGCAGAACACAAATGCAAAGCAAGTGGAAGTGCACTTAACTGACAACAGGAGGCACTTCTTTATACATAGGGTTTGCACAAAGGGCTGTGTGGGCATAAAACAAGCTTCCCAGTCATGTTGTGAAAATGTATACCCTGGCATTTTTCTGGAAATGGAGAAATGATTGCCTCTGATTACTTAGCTAATAATTACCAAACTAATTACCAGGCTAGATAGGCCAAATCGCCTCCTTTCAGTCATAACTGTTCTTATGTTTTAATAACAATGAATATGTTTTGCCACATCTGGATATGGGGAAGATTCCAAGAGTGACAATTGCTTTTTAAATGGAAGTATGTGGCAGTAAAACAAACGCAAAAGTCAAACATAAAAATGCAAAACACTACCAGCAGCCAAGCAAGATAGATGAACCACATAGACTGTTTTCATTTGTAACCTGTCTTGTGTTCTTATTTTCACTCACTGAACAGCCTGTGTCTGTCATACGTCTTTACAATAGGGATGGAATGACTGCACAGACACTTTCTGCTATGTTATACAGTAGATGGGTTTAGAAAATTAAAGCATTATAGTTATTGTGAATTATTTGCAATGTGTTAGGTGTGGTGTAGTGGTGAGCATTGTTGCATCACTGTGCTGGGGCCCTGGGTTCAATTCATAGGGTGCTATTTGTGTGGAGTTTTAGAGAGAGAGGGTGTCTTTATTATCCCTGGGGGGGTAAGTTGTTTTACAGCAGCAGTGTTGGTGTACAGATGGACAGAAGAAAAAAACGACAGGAGCAACAATATACGTATTTACTTAGAAGAAGGTCAAGTGTTAATAATAAAAATAATAATAATAATATAATACAATATGGCAATAATGATAATTATTATAATCATTATTGTATATGAATAATTTGTTATTATTAATTATGTGGCTACAGGTATGAATGAGAACTTGAATCTGTTGGTTTTGGAGTTGGGGAGTTGTTATCTGTGTTTTGATGGGAATAACTGGAAGTTATTAACAAAGGGCTGTGAAGAATCATCGCAGACGGATTTTGCTTTACCGAAAACACGTGAATGATAGATGGAAGAGAAGGCTGGAAGATCAGCACCCAGTTTGTTCTTGCTTCTCAGATTCAGGTTGCCAAACCAGCAGATCAGGGCAAAAGATAGAACAGATTCAAGGAAGGACCAGTAGAACGAAATCAACAATGAATCATCAACCTTAAAATATTTAAGCTTCCTTAAGAAAAAAAAGACGCTGTTGACCTTTTCTGAGGATCAGGTCAATATTGTCTTCAAAATTAATCTTGGAGTCCAGAACAGTCCTCAAGTACTTGTATTGTTCTACTATCTCCACTGAATCCCCCCAATGTAGGTTAGAGTGGGAGTGTGTTATTGTTTTCCTGAAGTCAATTACCATGTCTTTGGTCTCAGACACATTTAGCTTGAGGAAGTTTTGTTCACACCAGGTGGCAAAGTCATCAACGACTGGTCCGCGGCTCCACCTGTTGACCTGTAGCAGGCTAACAATGACAGAGTCGTCAGCAAATTTGATTAGGTGTCTTGAGTGGTGATAGCTCTTGCAATTCTTTGTGTATGGCACAAAGAGTAAGGGAGACAATACACACCCTTGGAGGACCCAGTAGAGGAATGCTTCTGGTTAGATAAAACATTGTTGACTCTCACCCTCTGGGTTCTGTCTATGTTCTGTTTCCCCATGTCTGTGTGGGTTTCCTCTGGGAGCTCGTTTCCTCCCACTTTCCAAAGACATGCTGGTAGGTTAATTGGCTTCTAGGAATAGTGGTCTTAGTGTGGGTTTTTGTCTTTGTGCGCTCTGTGATAGACTGGCATCCCATCCAGGGTGTATCCCAACTTGTGCCACAGACGATAGGCTAGACCACCATGGCTCTGAATGGGCTAAGTGGTCAATCCTCACTTTGTGTCTGTTTCTTGCCAAAATAAGCTCTGGAGCCCCTCGATCCTGAATTGTGTTGAGAGGTAAGGAAATGAATGGATAGATAAAACTAGACAGTTAACTAATAATCTATTCAATCGTGAATTGGCAAAAAATATTCGGAGTCAGTAACTGGAAATGTAAGGATTTTTAATTTTGTGACTACCACTTTTTTTGTAGATCTATGCAGCCCATAACACTAATTCTGGTGGTTTTGTAGACTATTTGAGCTTCAAATAGAGCAGATGCTGTTCTAAGCTCTGCATAGTTTATCTGAAGTTCATTCTCATTGTTAAAGTTATTATTACTATCCATGCAGGTAGCTGCGTCAGCATGCATAGGTTGCAAAGGAACAAGTAAATGTTTATTCCATCCTGAAAAGAGAAGAAAAGTAACTACATTTCGGCTGTGGAGCCTTCTTCGGGTGTGAAGAAGGCTCCCGAAGAAGGCTCCACAGCCGAAACATTGTTTTTCTTCTCTTTTCAGCATGGAATAAACCTTTACTTGTTCCTTATTACTATCCATTTTTAAGAGGCTTTTGCTCCGTTGCAAATCCTACTCTTATTTTGATCTCTAAATAATATCCAACTCCTAAAATCTTCCAACATTTTTTCTTCCAAGACTTGAACCTATTTGAACATCATCTACTTCAAAATCCAATGACAACAGACAGAAATGGCATGCAACAGTTTTACAAACCAGATTTATTTGTCAAAATACTTTCTCTAGGCACAATGGTGACATTTTATACATTTCAATTTCTGAATAAAATGAGGTACTTCAAAGTGCAATGGTTTAAATTCTATATGTCTGTGATACACTTGGGCAGTTTATTTTCTCAAGAAAAGAAAACACTCCATTCAGTAAGAAACAAATATACAGCATATACCTTTTCATTTAACCACTAACGCTGTACTGGTGAAGTTTGTACCTAGGTTTTCACAGCAGAAGACATTTTCTTTTGAGTAATTTCAATGTCAAACAAAGCTATACTTAGTTAAATCAGACATTTATCACCAAAGATGATTAAATAACCAACTGAATGGGGGAAAAAGGTGAATGGTTTTGTTTAATCACTGGCACGTTATCTCCCTGAGATTGAATGACCACTAAAACAATGGAATATCTTTAAATGGTACAGGCAGAGCAAAGGGAATCCTTCCTTTTAAAACAGGGTGTCAGACTTAGTGTCTCATGGTTTTTGCTCACTGGAGCTCTCAATGTCATTATTGGTTTAATTATTTAACTAACCACATAACTGGAATAGAGCAGCATTACTGCCTTGCAGCACTGTGGCCCTGGGTTCAACTCCTGAAGTGCTATCTGAATGGACTTTGTATGTTCTCCCTGGGTTCACATGGGTTTCCTCCCACTGTTCAAAGACATACTGTACTGGTAGGTTATTGTCTCTGGTGTGAGTCTGTGCATGTCTGTGTCTGCCCTAAGATGGACTGGTGTCCCATAGAGAGTGTATCCTGCCTTGCGAAAGTTGTTTGCAAGGATAGACTTTGGCTCCCTTGCAATGCTGTTTTGGACACTTTAGAAAATGGATGGTAATACACCTAACCAGGCTCTGATGTGTCTTCCAAGTAATCATACATTTAATAAAGTGAATGTCCTCAGTAATCACCGTAAATAATTTACAAGAAGACCTCATGTCTAAAAAATAATTAGTTTAACAACATTAGAAATGAGAAAAGTTGCAAATAAGAGCAGACTATTGGATATACCTAGCTCATTTGGTACTTAGTAGTTATTTCATCCAAGGATGTCATCTAGCTAGTTCTTGAAAAAAGCCAGTGTGTCAATAAAATGATTAGCTTGTTTTATACTCCCATAAGAATTTAAATTATTGGTAAATTATTGCCTGCTGTTCTTGATTTATATTTATATATTTACAGATTGTTCAATTCATTGGTCCAGTTGAAAATGAAAGCAGTAGACATTCCTCCATGAACTGACAGCCATATGTAACACCTTTTGTTCTTTATAGGCTACCAAGTCAACAGACGTTTTATACATTTACAGTATGTCAGAGCAATGACCAAATCCATTTACGTGAAGGAATGGTTACAGGATATAATGCTAATCACTGCAGGGAATACCTTTTTCCATTACTCATATAATGAACATGGTTTTCTCATCAAATCAGTTCTTGTCTTTTTAGAAACAATACAGCTCCAGCCCATTTAATATAAAAGATGTACAGCTTGTAATAATATTATAATTACTACTAATATTAATACTTTCAAATGTATGTGATCTATATGGGAAATAGATTTCTGTTGAGTAGTGCAACACTAAAGGTAGATACAGTAACTGCCTGGTGTACCACTGTTTTAGAATTTGAACCAAAGAGTAAGTAAAACTTCATACTAATGTAGCAGATAAACTGCACAGTGAAATGGCAGTATATTGTGCATGGGTTTTTTGAAAAGTAAAAAAAAAAGTTAATCAAGAAAACAAAGTTCTACAAACATAACATTTTTCAAATCCTGTCCATAAAATTAATCCAAATGATTTATATTATTCTCTACAAGAAAAGAAAGATTCATAGTTTCATTTTTGTTGAAACACCAAATGCACATTTCAAGAGTATTAATTTAAAATCTACAGTGGTCAACTTGAAATATATATACTGAGCATCAAAAGAATCTTAGCACTCAAAAACTGTAACAAATGTATAATGTTCGTAAGATTATGGCAATCTTTTTTGAAAAGGTGCTTTGACATTTTATTGAACAGACATGACAGATGCAGTAATATTCCTAACGCTGATTATCATCTGCCATCAGCTGGAGGTCTTCCATGAGAGACACAGGTTAGCAGCATGTGAGGCCACCACTGGAAGCAATACAAGCTGTACAAGTGCAATGCATGCTTTGTACCTGTCCCTGTTGTAGAATTAGACCAGAATGTGCCTGTTCACTGGATTGAGCCCTAAATCCCATCACTTTTCCCAGAGTATTCTGCGCCTTAACAGTAGAGTTCATAAACTGGTGAGTAGGGCATCAACACGAGGCATCCTCACCTCACAACAAAGTCGTAGTGAAGAGCATCACGAGGATGTGCGTGGTTCTCCTACACTGTTGTCGTGCCAGGACGAGCCAGGAGGAAGGGCAGCAAGGGCGTGATCACTAAAGCACTGTGCTCTCAATCCTATATGAGTGGAGGACTGTAGAAACTAGATGATGGTGGTCAGGTCATCACCCCATCAGTTGCTGTGAGGTCTCATAAGGTCTCCCAGATTGTGGCCGGCCTGTGTTCAGCTGTAACATCTTGTCAGCACGACACCTCCACAGGGTGAACAGAGTGTGGGATGGCCTCCAGGCATCCAGATGGCATGATACCAGTGTGTTGAGGATAAGTGGGACACATGGCTTCCATTCTGTGCTTTCTTTCTTGATTTACATCAGGCTTCATTGTGGGCCCAATCAGATCTCGATACTGAGGTGATTTAGTGCATGTGCAATAAAGTCTGGGGTGTGTCATAGTAAGATGATCAATTCATCGAACTGAAGACTTACTGTACATATGTAATTATCACATAACCAAATACTTCATTTTTTAAAAGCCTACATAGGCTAAACACAGTGATATGTTTCTTTTGATGCTCAGTATCATTCATGTCCTAAGAAAAACATTCAACGTGGCTTTTTCGCCACCGTCTTCAGGTTTAAACAAAAGGCACATCCTCCCCTTCACAGTCGGGTCTCCTTGTCCGGATGGCAGTCTGATGTCCTTATCAAGTGGTCACAGTGAAAAGAGTTCACCTCTTCCTTCCTCAAGGATTCCACCTCTGCTCCTCTGTTGGCGAGCGAGTCTTTTGCTTCATGTTGTACGTGTTTCTTCAACAGCGCATACACAGCCACACACGGGAAAAACGATACAGTTCGCAAGCCCAAAGTCAGCCCTAGGTACACTACTCTGGAAAGAGACAACAGCATACAGCTTATTAATGAAACATATCTGCATATGAATCCCACCTATGAAAAACCAATGAAAATATCACAGGTCACACACAAACTATCTAAATAAAATATTCAGAAAGTAATTTTTTTGATACCTTTATCATATGGATCTGAATGTTCTAAAATAAAACAAATAACATTTGTGGTCATTCTGTTTTCAAGTCACTTTAAAATATTTGTTCCCCTCAGCACACTGCAATACACATGGGAGTGAAGGGAATATAATCACACAAGAGGGCAATTCACTTACTAGAGCATTCACATAAAGAACACAAGCAAAGCAAATGTTAAAAGAACTTGGAAACTGACCCCATAGTAAGTGAGGGTCCTAAAATGGTCAAGACTGCTGTTTTTTTCTTCAAATTGCTTGTTTTATGATTGTGGGTAAAAACGGCAAAACGGCTTGCAAACAGTATTTGCAGTTATGCTAGTTAAATTTACAGTACATTTAAACCTACTACATGCATAATACAGTGCACTTGTCTCCTAAGCAGCAATCAGAGTAATGCTACTCTTCAGGGGATGTTTGGCTAAGATAAAACTAGTACTTGTGAGCACCTGCAGCTTTTGTGCATAAATCTGATAAGTTGTTTGTGGTAACATAATCAACACACTAAAGGCTACAAATAAAGCAATGGAACAATTTCCCAATGACTGTTAATTCATTTGCTTACCGTGAAGACTAAATTAACTTAGCAGTAGTCTACGTTACAAGAAAATGGACTGACAACTATTTTACAATCAGACTAAACCCTGGCTCCAAGTATGAAGGGCTATTTCTCTAATTCAAAATTATAACTATGTTCTTGGGACTACAGTAGTTTTAAGCACTATCCTAAAAATCCTAACCCTAACCCCTTGTGTCTTTAAATTATGAATGTTACCTAAGGCTCACAAGAAATGAGAAAAATGTATTGGATCAAGATCAAGTAAGGTAACTCCATACTGAAAAGTAGAAAGAAGCAGCACAGCATTTTGGCTATTCAGCTTTCTTCAGATATGGAGTTAGGGTTAGAGTTCAGGCACACCTGAAGAAGGCTTAATTAACAGCTGAAACACTCTGTTTCTTCTTCCTGCTTTTCAGCGTGAAATTAAGATTTACTTTCCTTGTTACTTTGCAGCCAATGCATGCTGAAGCAGTTCTTCAGATACTAACATTCTATATAGCCAGCAGCCATATCACTCTGCAACTGACAACTGGCAATCCACTAAAGCTAAGCAGGTGTGAGCCTGGTCAGTACCTAGATGGGAGACCTCCTGGGAAAAGGTTGCCGCTGGAAGAGGTGTTAGTGGGGCCAGCAGGGGGCGCTCACCCTGTGGTCCATGTGGGTCCTAATGCCCCAGTATAGTGACGGGGACACTTTACTGTAAACAGGTGGCATCCTTCGGATGAGACGTAAAAACCGAGGTCCTGACTCTCTATGGTCATTAAAAATCCCAGGGCGTTTCTCAAAAAGAGTAGGGGTGTAACCCCAACGTTCTTTCCAAATTTCCCATTGGCCCTTACCAATCATGGCCTCCTAATAATCCCCCTCTATGAATTGCCTTCATTACTCTGGTCTCCTCCCCACTGATATGAGATGTGTGGTGAGCGTTCTGGTGCACTATGGCTGACGTCGCATCATCCAGGTGGATGCTGCACACTGGTGGTGGTGGAGGGGAGTCACCATTACCTGTAAAACGCTTTGAGTGGAGTGTCCAGAAAAGCGCTATATAAGTGTAAGCAATTATTATTATTATTATTATTATTATTATATGCCTCTAAAATGCCAAAGCATCACTGAAAAGTATTTTGCCACTTGGAAAATTACCTGTAAGCACTGGTGTCATATAGCCTGCATGCTCCCTGTCCTCCACATTTCTTCCTGCCCCACTTCACACAGGTTGTGTCAATAAGAGCCCCAAAATATATGGGGGCAGGGATTCCAGCTGGAAAAAGCAACACTCAGATAAAACAGATGTTGTAATCTAATACACAGCTATTGCAATACTGTAGCTATGAAAAAACAGAGGTAAAAATGTATATGCACTAGAATATGTTACAGTTGCCCAGGTTATCCACATTTATGTCAAATTAAGCCAAAGGTGTTATGTATAAAATCTAGATCTGGATGATTATTAGTCTAGAACTTTTTATATTGCTGATTCTTCATAAAGCCAAATGAGATACACTGACATGGGCCATACCAACAAACTGTCTTTCACTACTATCCAAATTGCCATTAATTACCTAATGCAAGATAAATTCTTAAAATACAGGTAGTAGACAGGGGAATGTTTGTTTAGACATTGGGGACATTTGATGTTGGGGTGTGTGTGTGTTTGGATTGAGAATTGGTTATTAGAAATCAGAGGGTACTGATAAGGAGTGAATGCACAAATTAAGGTAATGTAATTAGTGGAGTACCACAGGAACTTATACTAGGACTCCCGGTCTTACAAATTTCTGTCAATAATTTAGACTATGGTATAGTTAGTCAACTAGTCAAATGGTCTGAAGGAAGTGAGCGAATTTAGTTTTGAAGAGAGAAGACGACGAAGGGACATGATTCAAGTTTTCAACGTCCTCAAAGGCTGTCAAAGTCAACTCGGTGACCTTGTTTAGATTAAACAGTGAAACCTGAACCAGACAACACAATCAGAAACTAAAAGTAAATGCATTTAAAACTGAAAATAATGTTTCTCAGTATATAAGGCTTTTTTTTACCATTTTCTGTTCTGACAGTTTTGGGCACTTTATTTACAAAAAGGGCTGTGGGAACTTGGGAACATGTTGTTGAAGCAGATGCCTCTTCTTGTTTGTAATAATTTTTGTATTCTTCAATAAACATACATATTTAGATAAGATTATGGAGACAGACCATTTTTTAACCTTTTGACTCCACTATAAATTCAAATCTGAAACTTCTTAGTTCAAAAAGACACTAATCTCAACATAATTATAAAAAAGAGGCTGATGCCATAGTCTTTAACATTTAAAACGGTTCATGCAGGCCAAAGGTAATATACGTTTAGTCAACAATAAACTGTAGCTGTCTGAGTTGCAGTGAGAGCAATGTTACAACTAAGTTACTGCCAGCGCTGGACCAAAAGGTGCAGTTTACCTGGGATACTATCTGGGTTGTTTAGATTGTTTAACATGAATAATTACATAACATTTAACAAAACTCACCAAGTGTTCTGGTGGCCAGTGTGTGGAATCCTAAGGCCAGTGATTTTAATTCTGGTTTAATGCACCTAGAAGGAATTTGGTTGCACATTTGACTAAGCAACAGAAACAATAATAATAAAACAATAATGTATGATATATTTCACATACATATAAGAGGACTATCTTCTATTTGTCTTTTAGTGAATGCCTGGAAAAATATATAAAAAACCAAACCATGCTGAGAACAAAATGCAACATGAAATGTTTGGAAACATCACTCTTTGTCTCCCTCATGTGGGTACTCTAAGCTACGTGATCTTTGAATGAAAACTACAAGAAATTGTTTCTATATGTATTATTCACACATAACTTCTGCATTTTATAGTGGGAAAGCAATAAAAATGCAATTTTAGGCTATATATTCACAACTGAAAATCAATCAATGCTGTGATGTTAAAATTGCACAATGCACTAGACAAATCACATTCAGTATACTCACAATTTTGGTCAATGAACAATTTTAGTTATAAAAAAGATATTGCTGCTCTGCACCACAGAGCAAAGCAACCATACACATTTTTTGTTGCTTGGGGGAATGTTAATTTTAAATGTAACTATGTGGAAGTGCATTTAAAACTGGATCACGAAGCATTTCTTTATATAAAGGACTATAGGACTATCCTACCATGCTACCCTACCATCTTTTTGAAGCTGAAAACCCTGGTTTCTCATCCTGACAGACAGGCCAGATGGGTCAAATTGTCCCCTCATTTATAATATTTCTTACAGAGAAGACTTGTATCTACCCTGGCAACACAGTAATTCGTCATACAGTACATGCCAATAAAGTTCATTGAACTTGAATTTAAAAAGCAAATTTACTGGAACAGCGAAGTGAAATTAATCATTTCTGCCCAATTCATGATTTCTCTACTAATGAAATATGTATTTCAGTTCAAGAGATTAATATAGGCAAAAGTGTATAATTTTAGTATCTCAGTCATAGTGTATAAAGACTCCATAGCCTGTATATTTTTTTAAACACAGCAACATAAGTTTCTCATTTTTTGTACCTAACATACTTTTCACTGTAATTCAAGTATAATGTATGTAGGTCTACCACAGCATTAATTCATATTGCAAGTATGTTTAATGTGTATTCTCAATTTTAATGGTCACTGAACACCAGTGCCCATGTCTTCAGAAAGCAGTACTGCTGTCGCATCTACAAACACCTGGGTCATCACTGTTTTCTGTCACCTGAAGCTGCAGGTGAAATGAGCCACAGCTTTACCTTATTAACAGTATGTATCCTGGTGTACCTCCCAAAGAGATGACAAAGGACGTGAGGACAGACAGTGCTAAGAAATAGGGGAAGACCTTTTCACATCCTTCCCTGTGCTGACAGTGCCCCAGAACTGCTGTGAGATTCCCAGTGGCAGAGCCAGCGGCCATCAGACACTTGCAGTTATCAAACACCTGATGCAGAAAAACAGCGTTAGTTGAAGTGAAGAACATTGAAGAAGAACGCTCCGATTTAAAAACGGGGAGGACTGAGTTTGCAGTTTCAACTGAGAATAAAAATTGCTTACTAGGAAAAAGGTGAAAAACAAATGAAATAAAAATGTCTATCTACTGTAGCTCATAGATCACCAGTCTAAAATATTTTGGATCTGCACAAGAGGTCTCGGTGGTCTATGAATCAAGAGTACCGTTGCCAAGCTGTTACAAGAATAGCAAACCTTTAGAGGCCTGTTATTATGTTTATTCCTGCTGAGATGATCACAATACAGTACAGTACTGGATACAGTGGTAGTAATAATAATAATAATAATAATAATAATAATAATAATAATAATAATAAAACAATATATCGCACCTGTAAAGGTGGCTTCTCAAACAGCTTTGCAGAACAGCAACAAAAAAACAACAACAACAACAACAACAACAACAAAATATATATACTATGAAAATACACAATGAGAGAAGACAGTAGATGGGGGTACAGTAGGAGCAGGTGCTCTAGGATAGGAGTAATGTGATCACTTGCATTAGACCTGGTCAGGATTCTGGTTGCCAGATTCTGGACATACTGAAGTTTGCTCAATGTGGATCAGGCAATAAGACTGCTAAATAGCCAACCCGCAGCTCCTTCAGAAAATCACCCGTAATAGCTGCATGCACATACAGTTATCACTGTATCCAGCATACTGCGCTACTTGCACATAATGTATTGCATACACCCTGGACACATCACAGCTCTATTTATACTGATTTTTGTCTGAGTTTATTTTATTCAATATCCATTGCATTATTATTTATTATGCAACCTTATTTTTTTTCATCTTAATTTTGTAATCTTTATCCCTGGTGAGCTCGCAGAAAAGACATTTCATTGCCAGCAACTACTGCTGCATGCTGTATTGTTGTGCATTTGATAAATAAACTTTGATCGATTTGGAAAACCCAGCAAGTAGAGCCTTAATGAGTTGACCAGCTTCTCAGCAACAGTTAGCGACAACAAAGTACGTATTCTGGTGATAGTTCTGAGGTGAAAGAATTCTATTTTGACAATATGTTGTACATACAGTTGCAAGAAAAAGTTTGTGAAACCTTTGGAATTAACTGGATTTCTGCATTAAAAATGTGGTCCGATCTTCAACTAAGTCAAAATAATAGACAAACACAATCTGCTTAACTAATAACACACAAAAAAGTGTACTTCTTCTTGTCAATATTGAACACATAATTTAAACATTAACAGTGCAGGCTGGAAAAAGTAAGTGATTTAGTATTTGTATTTTTACTTGTATTTAGTAAACTGGTAGAACCTCCTTTAGCAGCAATAATCTCCAACAACCATTTCCTGTAGCTGCTGGTGAGACTTACACAATGATTAGGAGGAATTGTAGACCATTCCTCCTTACAAAACTGTTTCAGTTCATTGATATTTCTGGGATTCCTTGAGTGAGCAGCTCAGGTCATGCAACAGCATCTCAATTGGGTTTTGGTCTGGACTCTGACTTGGCCATTCCAGAACACACATTTTCTTCTGTTTAAGCTATTCCGTTGTTGATTTACCCCTGTGTTCCGGGTCATTGTCTTGTTGCATCACCCAACTTCTATTAAGCTTCAGGAGACGGACCGCTACCCTGACATTCTCCTGTAAGATTTCTTGATACAATTCTGAATTAATTGTTCCCTCTATGATAGAAAGCTGTCCAGGCCCTGGGGCAGCAAAGCAGCCCCACCATGCTTTACGGTTGGGATGTGGTGTTGGCGTTGGTGTTGTTGTGCAGTGCTTTTTTTTCCTCCAAACATAGCGTTGCACGTTTCTGCCAAAGAGTTCAACTTTTGTCTCATCCGTCCCCAGGACATTGTCCCAGAAGTGTTGTGGAACATCCAGGTGGTCCTTTCCAAACTTGAGACGTGCAGCAATGGTATTTTTTTTGGAGAGCAGTGGTTTCCTTTTTTTTTTGTTTTGTTTTATTTTTTATTTTTTAATACAAACATACAAATAGAGGAAAAAAGACATCCACTGACACAGGAGATAAAAAAAGAAAGAAAAAGTACTCAGATATTAATATTTAAATATCTTCAGAAGGGTCATAAATGAAGCCAAGGGAAAAAATAAATAAATAAAAGCATCAAAGAATCTTCCGTTTTTACCACATAAACACAATCATATATAGAAAAATCTCTCATTTAAAATAACATCACTCCTTTAACAGAAATATTATTTTTACTCAGTCCTACGTGATTGCTGTCAGGACCTGGGACAGGACAGTGTGTTTCTGAAACATAAGGTAGACTGCTTTCTACCAGCCTCAAATCCAAGGAAAGAACAAAGCTGATAACAAGGCAGTGCCGGATTTCCTTTCTCACCTTGCTACGCAATGATGTTCCGAACCAGTACTGGAAGCACTCCAAGCCCGTGACCCCAGTCCGCTCCATGAGGAAAGACAGGGGTGATCCATGTACCTGAGCTCTGCAGTGGTGCCTGACCCTGCCAGGCATTTCCACTGCTCTCTAGAGGCGGTAGTTAAAGGTATGTATTGACCAAACGCTAATGTGCTGGTCTTTGGATCCAGTGACCAGCAGCCTCTGGTGGTCATGTCGAAGCCAACTTCCTCTGGTCCTCCCGGATAGACAGATTGGAAATCTCTACTGAGACCTGCAGCTGGAGTGTTTGCTCTCCATCAGGTGAGCAGGCCCAGATGATGGTCTCCGCAGAGCCGGCAACACCTCTCAGCTTCCCCTGGTTAAAGTCAAGGCACTTGAGCAGCTGTGCAAAGGCAGACCGGCGGCTTTACAGCCTCTGTGTGGAGGAACCCACAGGGTGACTGAGCTGTCCTCATGGCCCGCAGGTAGCCGGGGACTGCAGCTGGAGTTAGGCTGCCAGAGCCTTGGACACATGGACATGCCCAGCCAAGCCTTCGGGTTCGGGGCTGCAGACATGTACATGTCCCGGCCCTGTCCTCTGCACACCCGGAGAG